AACTGATTGATAAAAGGTCTTAGAAATCAAGAAGTATTTTTTTATTTTGACACATGGCACTCAAGAACACACTTAGTAAATGTTTCCTAAATAATCGCATGAACAACTCTCCAAATGGGGTGGGGGGGGGGAGTTAGGGAACTGTGTTCATAAGTTGTTTGTTTTGGGAAGGTGGATAGGGTGGGTTTTAAACCTTTGCTTTATATATAGGTATTCAAGGACATGCATACTGTTAAGATAACAGGAGTTAAGGGAAAAGACAAGAAACTATGCAAAACAGGGAGTCCATTGGTCAGTGTCCTTAATAGGTGTCTTAAATATTCCAGAGAGAAGGACTAGAGAACACGGGATAGGTAAAATGCCCTTGGTTGGTGACAAGAGAAGTAATATGCCACAGACAAAACTAGAGACGACTCAAAGGAACAAAATACCTATTCCCACGAAAAAAGGCTACTTAGGGGGACGACTTCTAACCCAGAAATATTAGGTAATAGAGTTAAACATTTATTTCATTTCTTCCCAGAGGCCCAGAGGCTGTCTGAATCAACCCCACTCTATCGAAATTCCATCTACTTGAACTGTCACACTTATTCTTCAGTTTCACATTGGGTAGGAAATTTTATTTCCATTTTCAGATAATGAAAGTGTCTCCAAAAAGCATAATGACTTACCCAAGGTCACACAGAGAATTAATAGAAGAACCAGGACTGGATCACCATTGGCATAGTACCTATCTATTCCATGACAGCAAATACAGACACACCTCAGTGGGTAAGCTGTGTGGGAGCAGCTCATTCTGGTTATCTTAATTTTATGGTAAATTGAATTAACATTCTAACTTATGATATATCAGATATTTGCTAATTCATAACTAAATACAAAAATATGAGCTAGATACAGCTCTGGAATATATAACAATAGTCCTTGCTTTCAAGGTACTTATATTCCAGTAGAGGAGATAAAACATGCAAAAATGTGAGTATACACAAGGCAAAAAAAAAGTAATCTCTACATGGATGAACTTTAAAAACAGTGTGCAAGGGCCGGCCCCATGGCTCACTCGGGAGAGTGCGGTGCTGGGAACACCGAGGCCGCAGGTTCAGATCCTATATAGGGATAAAAAAAAAAAAAACAAAGAACAATGTGCTAAGTAGAAACTAGTCACTAAGGACCACAAATGATGTGATTCCATTCATATGAAATAGCCAGAATAGGCAAATTCACAGAGACTGAAAGTAAATTAGTGGTTACCTAGAGCTGAGGAGGTTGGGGTGAAATGAGGAGTGACTGCTAATGGGTACTGGGTTTCTGTAAGGAGTTGAAAAAAAACATTATAAAATTGACTGGTGATGTTTGAACAACTCTGTGAATATACTACCTAATAGATCTGCAACATAACCAGCACCACTTTAGACAAGCACAAGTACAAAATAGCACCGCCCACCTCCTCCCCTCCCCCCTTCCCTTTGCGAGAAGCCTCCTGACTTAAACAGAAACCCCTCTTGCTTCTGCAAGGATGCAGTTCTCCACCCTGATGCACATTAGCATAATTACCCTCCTTGATGGTATCAGCCAGCCCTTGGTGCACTATATAAGCTCTACCACCCCCACACCTGGTGCTGTCCCCCATTTTCAAGGCAGCCCCGGGCTGTTCCCCACTTTAAGCACAGCCCAGCAGATTTCTTTCTTTATTAAAGCTTGAATGGTACCCGGCATCTAGACTCACTTTCTTTCACTACCCACTCTCAAATGCCTATTCTTTCTTTTGGGTTCCTTAATGTAAGTTTACCCATCACCTAGTCAACTAAGAAAGAAACCTCCAGATTCTATACAAGTTCTCCCTCATTCTATCACCACAAATTGTGCTCATTCCACCTCTGAACTATTATCTTAAGTTCACCAATTCTTCTTCATCCTCAGTGCTACTACTTTAATTCAGGCTTTCATCGTTTCTAGCTTGATAAT